CCTAAATGAAATAAGGACAAAATACACTTGTTTTCAGCTTGGTGTGGTGTTGCACATAAACTGGGAGGTAGAGGCAAGAGACTAGATAGCAAGTCCAAGGCCAGCCTGGGCTACATGAGACTCTCTGAAAAACAAAAATTTTATAGATAGATAGATAGATATTTTATAGCTATCTATATATTTTATAGATAGATAGATAGATAGATAGATAGATAGATAGATAGATAGATAGATAGATAGATGCAATACACTTGGTTTAAAAAGTAAATATACTTGAGCAGTAGTTTGTAAGAGCCAAAAGGTGAGTGATGAAGTTGCAACCCAGAAGCCAGTGTGGGGCTAAGCCAGTTTTCCTTGACTCCTATATGCCCTCTAGGAAAAAGGGCTGTTCTTCAATTATTTTCATTCAATGATATATAAGAAAAGAGATGGCATCCATTTCAAAGATTAAAAATGTGCAACCTTTAAAAGCCATTTCAAAAGTCGTCACACAGCCATGGTTGATACAGGAGGTGGGAGAGCCTTTTTTGGCAAAGTCTGGTCAAGCTGTACAGCACTGGCTGCGATGGGTAAGGACCCCTATCTGGCATCAAACTCAGAGTTTATCAGCTGCTGCAGGCGGCACCATTCATTGACCACAGGGTTCTACCCTTGTGAGTGTCCCAGAATAGCTGCTGCTACCTGAGAGCAGTCTGTCCTCGGGGACTCGTTATTGTCCCAGATAAACAGTGAAGCCTCTGCCAGCATGTAATGGCTGTATTTAACTCTGATAAGTGATGGGTGGCAGTGCTCAAGTGAGTGGATTTCTACTAGGTCCAGAATAATTGGGCAAAGGCAAACGGGCTTGGCATGGGCATGTGTTGCCTATCAGGGTTGATGCCATGGGGTTTTAGACACCTGGGAACAAATATGACAGACAACAGGGGGCTTGCTTTATCAATAAGCAAGACAGGACAGGCCTACTAGACTTTGATTATGCAAATTACAAAGGTATTTGAAAAACAAAGTTAGAGTAAGAATTTGGATACTAGTCTAGATTGAAAGAGGCATGCTTCCGGACAAAGATGGCATCTCACACCACATAAAGGGCAGCCTGGAACTGTTGGGTTTAAAATGACACCATTTTTTTCCAGGTCCACACTTACTTTTGGGAGTGGTCATCTGGAAATTTTCTAAAATAAAGTAACATGCTTCTTAAGTCGTAAATCAGAGTGGTGAAGGTGAGAACGACCATGTTTTGAGACTATTAGTATTAAAAGGATTCACCATTGTCAAGATTCAGTTTTGCTCTTAGCCCTTTGAATAGTTTTATGTGGCAAAGGAAGATGGGTAATTAAAATCACATTTTCAATAATGGTTCCCCCATGAACTTGCCAGGTGGATAGGGTATCTCTCAACCAGTTTAGTGTGCAATTGTCATTCCATGAGAGGCTGTTTCACTATTCTGGGTAAAAGGGGAAGGCATGTATGGAATTTGAAGACAGCTGGCCACCCATATGCCAGAGAGAGCAAGCATGATAGTTCTAGGATTTGTATATGGGAAATACACAGTATAACACATGGGCTGCTCTGTGTGTGTGTGTGTGTGTGTGTGTGTGTGTGTGTGTGTGTGTGTCCCATTGTCAGAATGACACCAAGTGCCATACACTGCTGCAAAAGCCTTGTGGGGTGCACCATCTCCTGTCTAAATACTCCTGTCTTAAGCTTTTCTACTGGTCAGCTACTGTCAGGGAACATGGATGATATAATGCCGTTAGACAAACCTGTTATTCAGAAAAAAAAATGCAAACTGTAAGGTATAAGTATGGGCCCTTTCCCAGAATCCTTTGCATTCAGAGGCACTCCAGAAATCTCTGCTACAGGAGTGTGTTTGCTCATACACACATGTGTATATGGGGACTCATGTCCACAGAGCAAAAAAACTCTTAAACTCTGGACTTGAAGATCCAGAAAGGGCACCTTCCTTATGTAATGACAACAGATTAATATCCAATTACTCAAGTTGCAAAGCTATTTACTTGGTACTGACCTTTGTCAAAGGTCCCCTAATCAGCCCAGGGTGGAGCAGGGATAAGAGACACTGTAGAGAGTGCCACTCAGGCTTCCCTCAGCAAAAGGGCCAGTGAGAAACATGTGGGAATACACACAGACAGCTAGGATGGGCAAGCCAGATTGCCTCTCCTGTTTCTCGTAGTTTCCACTCTGTGCAGATGATGATGTTTAGATACTGGGGACAGGTTTTCCATAGAAGTCCTCTGGGTGGCAAAGGTCTTTAGCTTTTTTACATGACCACTTTATAAGTCTCTAAGGGTGTTTCTTCCCTGCTCTTGAAGTCTCCATGTGTTACTTACCAAAGAAAACGAGCAAAGTGAAGCCCACACTTGCTCCCTTGTCACTAACAGCAGGCTCATTGCTTGTGTCACCAATAAGGGGGCTGACTTGAACCAACTGAGGAGGCTTACTTTAATGTCGCCCCCACCTCAAAAGTTGCCAGCAGAAAGAGACTGCCACCCTCTGGCCTTTGGGGATGTCCCAGGTATGCAAGTGTGCCAAGAGAAGAAAGGAAGGGCACGCATGGTCTCCTTCGCACTCTCTTAAAATAAGCTCTATGTAAGTAGACTTGCAAAGCAGCAGGCCTGGGGCTGCAAAAAATAGAACACCATGCAGCTGCACCCTTTGGAACTTGGGGGGAAAACACATATTATTTACCAGACAATAATAGATACCAGAGAATAATAATGATTATTATAGTGTTTGGGATGGCAAATGCTGTACTTAAGGTTCCAGAATGGCTCTCATTATAAGCCCGATTTCCCAGTCTCTTATGAAAGCCTAGACATTTTCTCCACATAGGCTGATGCTGGGCATATTTGGTCTTTGTCCAATGGTGATTTGAATACAAAGACATTTATCTGAGAGATATTCCCCCCACCACCACATACACACATTTTGGGTGTGATTGCATTAAAGAAAAATGCTATAGACATCATAGAACAAACAGTTGCAACAATTAAAAATGGTGGTGTCTCCCAGTCACTGGAAGAAAATGTTAAAACTCCTTTTCCTTTTTTCCCTTTAAAAGAAAAAATTTGGACCTCCTGCCCCCCACCCCCACCCCTGCCTCTCAATTCCAAGATGTGGTCACTCTTGGTTCCAGGCCCAGAGGTGGGGATATTTCCCTGCCTCCTCAGCAGTGACCAGGCTGTGCCTGACAGAGCAAAAGATGTGTCCCCAGAAGAAGTGACCCTGTCTTCTAATCCACTTTTCATTGCTCAGCAATTCTTTAATCTCCTGTGTCTTCTGATGTGCCCCCATTTCTTGATGGTTTTTGGGGGGTCTCATCCTCCAGACAGGAAGGAGGGCTGGGGGATACGAACTCTGTATCCCTAGGTAAACATCCCCATATCCAAACCTGCCTCTGCCAAATGAAAAGATTTCCATGGCCTTGTAATTCTACCCCTGCTGCATATTTGTGGCCTTTTGCATTTTCACTTTGGTTATTTAATATACATATTAAATGCACACGGATCTGGTGATTTAATGTGATTTGGGGAACTCAGGCATTTCCTGCCGTGCACACTGAGAATGTCAAACCTTGTTTTTGGTTGATGGTTATTATCATGCCATTAACACCAGGATTTGAACAGCAGGGTTTAAAGCATGGGCTTCTACTCAGCCTTCCCAGCAGGCAGCTGACCTCCCTGCTCTCATGCTAAAATCTTGGTTTGCAACCCTAAGTGGGTTTCGTGGGCTCCACAGCCTCTATTTCTCTTTCTATAAAGTGGAATTGTCATATTTTATCTCTTGGGTTCTCTTCGACTCCAACATTGTATCAGCTCTGTAAAATTATTTGTTCACTATTCTGAGAATAATTTCTAAGGTTGTGAAGATGTTTGAGTCTTGTGTTACCACTTCACATTTGCCGGATTTTACCCTTTCAAGTTTCTGACAACCACATATATTGGCAGGGGGCCTCTTTGGGGACATTGTGGAAGACAGCTACTTAGCTCATTCATTTGAGAAAACATGTGAAACACCAATGACTAGCTGCCCAGCTAATGTAGAGGAGAGAAGCAGACAGCCCAGGCATAGCCCTCAGGGATGTCACAGTTTGCAGGGCAGGCTTCTAATTGGCTACTGCTTGGGAATGCCTGGCTCTTCAAGACGCTGTGCTTCAGATGAAGGGCTTGGTAGCAAACCACAGAACCCATGAGGATGCAGAGGTGGGGCCTCAAGTATGTGGTGAATGTAGGGATAGCATTCCCCAGGAACTAGTTTGAAAGTACGGGTTGGACCCTCAGGCCACCCTCGCCAGGCATGGGTGGTTTGTTGTCTGTGCATCTTGTATTCCTGTGTTACATGGATGTCAAGAGCTCTAGATGGCTTGCCTTTGACAGGTAAGACCCCCCAGATGGGGGCAGCCATTTCTTCCAGCTTAGTCACCTCCATAGGAAATTCTGAAGAGATGGGTGTGTGCATGTGTTCTCTACCAGTATGACTTTATTTACTAATAGTGACTCTCGGAGACCTCAGTCCTAAACACCAGATTTAATATGTGAGTGACAGCAATAACGTTTGCACATCTGGGGTCTTCTGTGACCTTTCCTGGTTTTGGAGTGACCCTGGCGACTCAAAAGACCTCCTGCTGGTTAATCATGTGGTCCTGTGAGGCTGAAAGCGGCTCGATGCAAAGGATGCTGTGGTCCTGGGGGAGGGCGTGGTCCATCATGCTCATTATGGTTTTCCTAAAAAGGCTCGAGTTTCAGTTGCTCACAGAGCTTGCAGGGCTGATCCTGAGCAGACTGAATGAAGCTCTCTGGAATCACGCTGCCGAGGCTGTAGCTCTGGAACTCAGCTGAGGGAGAACTGATGCATGCTGGGAGCTACAGCTCTTTCCCTCTGGACTGGTTCTCTACAGCTAGGCAGGGTGGGAGGAGGCGGGTGGGTAGGTAGAGACTTGGTCCAATGCATTCTCATGGCCCCTTTTCATCTCTTCCCAGGAACACTCGCTCCCAGGGTACCTTGCATGGAGAGAGGGCGTGGAGCATATCATGTCATGCCATCCAATGACACCAGCTGGTCAGCTCACCACCCCCCTCTGGCTAAAAGTCAAGCAAATAACACAGCTTCCTGTCATTAAACATCTTGGAGGAAGCAGCCCTCCCTGGTGGCCTCTAGGCCAGGGAAGCCAGCACGTCTTGACCCACCAAGCTTGGGCCCAGCATTCCTGCTCCCTCCATCTCTGCTTGTCCCCAGAGGAACTTAGGGATTTCGCTGGTTAAAAACTAACACTACCAACACGCCACAAGGACCAATGTAGGTATTCTCCTCACCCATCTTCAAGGTTCTACGGCTGAGGCCAGAAGATGTTAGGGATTGGAAAACAAGAATCTTTTTAAATCTTTTTAAGAACTGTTGTGGTTTGCTGCTACGATAAGAATTGTGATTTGCTTTTATGGGTTAGAAACAGAACTGTTCTCGTTTTGGTGAGGAGAAGGGATGGTCCTGGAGTCCCCAAGCTTCAGACTCATCTCTGCCCCGGCCCACGATGCACTTTTAAATGAAGAGGTAGAATATTTTATTGGCTAATATACTTTTCATGTTATTTTTTACAAAGGCCACCTTTATCCTTTTTGATGCCATATTTTCAGTGTTACACTTTTATGGCTTTTAATTTTCGATCTGCCAGATGTAAGAAGCAGCATGGATAGTTTATACTGTGGTTTTACAGAGACCGAATGCCAAGAGAACTGGTAAATGTTTATTCTTCTCAGCTTTCTCTTGAAATGCCCCTAAATAGCGCCCCATTTGGGAACAGAGCAAGAGTGTCGAACTGAAGACCAAAATGCCCTCAAGGTGTAATATAATCCGAGGGGGATATTTGCTGGGCGTCAGGAAAGACTCGGATGAAATTTCAACCCTGATGGTTTTCGGAGATCCAGGAAGTCAGTGAGACAATCTCTCTATACGCAGAGTCCTTTCATGATAATTAGAATGGTATGGACGAACCAATGAAAACAAGAGGGAAAGTGAGAAAGATCACCCGGGATTCTGTTTCACTGTTTGCTTTCTCCTGTCATGCTTAAGAGAAATGTGCAATTCGATCCTCAGTCAGTGGGTGGAGGGTAACAGGGTAGATTTTCTTGTGTGCACTTGTACAGTTGTAGCTGCGAGTCCAGAAGTCCTCTAGAACATGTGGACTGGCACTGAGTTGGTGAGACAGTTGTGGAGTGCCCCAGTCTGATGAGTACAGAAAAAAGAAAAGAAAAGAAAAAAATTTTAAAAAAGAAGAAAACCTTAAAAAAAAATCAAATGAAATCACCTTGTGATTCAGTGTATCTGTTTACTAACTCAAATAAAAGCAATTGTTCCCTCTGGAGGGGTTAAGGTGCCCCACCCCTCCAGGCCATGGAGCCTCAGCAGGAGGGTGGCAGTCGGGAGGGCAGGCAGGGCCGGTGTCACCGTGCTTGCTTACAGCACTGGGGCCGTGGATGGGTGTACATACTGTATTTCTATATTCTCCTTTGTACAGTCGAGTCAGGCTACTGTCTTACAGGTGCTCCTTATTTATTAGAGCTGTGAGAGCTTGGGGGACACACCTGGCGAGCAAGCTCGCTTTTTAAACATGAAATTGGGGGGCAGGGGAAGGGAGGCGGGAGGGAGGGAGTGCTCACAAGCCCAGGGAGAGATTTATAAAAGGGAATGAAAAAAAAATTCCAGCAACAAATTAAACCAGCCAACAGCCCAACACCAAACCCACCCGTGAGGGAGCTGCAGCCCCTCTGGGTACTCCTTTTCCTGCGGTGTCAGATTCATCAGACAAAAATAAATCTCTGAGAAACAACAACAGCACACATCTATGTGCTTATTCGGCTTTTCTCGTTATTGTGAATATTGTTGTTATTTGCTCTGTCGTGGAAAGTACTCACTCTTGCTCCCTCAGTCCCTGAAAACAGTTTTTTTAAATAAGTAGTATCCCATGGCCCTGCCTAAGCCACTGGGGATCAAGCATCTCTGTGGCCCGTAGACCACACTGCCATTTCAGGGCCAGCTACCCTCTGTGAGCACTGTGGACAGCATGGTGTGTGCACAGCAAGCCCCAGGGTCTGCAAACTCGGCTGTCCTCATGCCTGAGTCCTGGCCTCAGCTCTAAGACTTTGGACCTGAGAGTCAAGCTGTGGCATGAGATAGACAGGAGCCCTTGCCTTGGGTTCCACTCACTTTGCACCCCATCACCCCCACTTGACCCCACCTCACCCTTCTTTCCCCATGGGTTCATGGGGATGGGGCTTTGGTTGCAGTCTTGCACAGATGGTATGGGTTCATCTGAAAACAGCAGAGTTAGACATCAGGAGATTCCTAAGGTAAAACATGTATCAATTGTGGTTCTAATGAGTGTAAATTGAATCCAGTCCTCAGATTCTATGTTTGAAAACAACAAAACTTCAAACTTAGAAAAGCAGATGGTGTCCATGATCCCACAACTAGTTGATTTAGTGTGTCAAAAACAAATGTTCATTAATATATTAGACACTGTAGACTGAACCTCCAAGTGGCCAGCTCATGGAGTCTGGAAGCCTGGTTTCTCTTCCGGAGCTTGGAAGGCTCTTGCAGGTTTCCAGTTGAAGGTTACATTTATGAAAGTGACTCCATGTGAACTCCACAGTGGCAGGCCTAGTGAGGATAAAAACATGTCAAGACCCAGGGCACCTTGTGTGGCTGTCTGGGTCAAAGCCCCTGATAGCATTATGTATCTAGACTTGGCCATAGAGACAGGCATCCAGGATATTGATCTTGCTTTTGTCTGTCGTCCAAGATTGTTGAGCAAACATTTTGACCCTCCTGGAAACAAAAGGTACCTTTGTTCCCACAGGAAGAGTCTGTGGCATCTTATTAGCCACCGGTGCCCTTTTCCTCCTTCCTCCCTGCTGATACTGGTGTTCTCTGAATGTGTCCCCCTCTCAAGCTGTTACAGCACATACAAAGAGAACTAGAACAATTATGGAAGCAAGAAGCAGTGTGTGTTAAATACACGAATGGGATCCTCATTTCCTCTTTGTAGCAACCAGGGAGGAAAAGCCTGTTTTCCTTTGTCAAGGAAGAAGGAACAAAAGCTCAGTGGGTTAAGTTACCACCCAAGGTCACACAACTGGTAAATTGCAAGCCTCACTAGACCTGCATCTGACCTGGCTGAAGTTGCTGACATCCTCAGGAAGAGTCACTTTGACATCCTTAAATTTGCAGGTGAACAGTGGTGAGTAGTGGCTCACTCCTTTAATCCCAGCAGAGGCAGGTAGATCTTTGTGAGTTCAAGACCAGCCTGGGCCAGGCATTGGTGCAGGCCTTTAATCCCAGCACTCGGGAGGCAGAGGTAGGCAGATCTCTGTGAGTTCGAGGCCAGCCTGGTCTCCA